TAAGGATGCTCTCTTTGCTCCTTAAATATTCCTTTCTTGGAAAAGGGGAGGGAGTACTCTTTGTTTTCTCTTCTAGATGGTAGATAAAGGCAAGGGTTAGATATCTAAGAAAATCAAAATTTACTGTCTTCCAGAAAATAAGAATTCAGGGTCATGAAGTGTGAGTGTGGAAAAGGGAAGTGGAAATATGGCCATTTTAGAAGTCAATGGGTTAAAAAGGAAAAAATACTCTATTTGTTTTAACGAGTAATTACTAAAGACCACTGTGTGCCTTGCCCATGGTAATGGTTGGCAAGCTGGCCATGCAGCCAAAAGACTTGGATTCAGAAACTCCTTCTGAGATGTAATGGTTATGTGATCTTGGGCAAGTTACACAAATTCTTAAGTCTCAGTCAACTTTTTAAGACTCAACAGTAGAGCAGCTGCACACATGGCTAAACAGAGAGTGTTCCCTCCCAGAGAGTTCACTACACCACTGAAAATCATGTCAGGCATTCCCCGCCGCCCCCCACCCTGCCACCCCATCCCAAATGCCAGTCACTGTGCATCCTGCTGGGGAATATATAGACCAAAAAAAAGCCAGTCTCTATACTTAAGCTTACATTCTACTGGAGTAATGAGTCATAAAGACCAGGCCAATGTTACAAAACCATTGGGATCAATGGCTTGGTTAAAAGCATAGATGATTTCCCCATCCAATTTGTAGGTAACACAAAACTGGGAGAGATAGCTAACACACAGGATGACAGTCAGTCTCTCAAAGGAATCATTAAAGCCTAGAGGAATGATTTTAACAAAATGAAATTCAATAAGAATAAATGTAAATTCTTCCAGTAGGGTGCAAAAAATATTACCTTCATAAGTACATGACTGAAGACACCTGATTAGGCAGCAATGGTTCCGAAAAAGATCTGGGAGTTTTAGGGTACTTATTGCAAGCTCACTGAGACCACGGTGTGATTTGGCCGGCTCAAGAAGAGATTGTGATCTGGGGTTGCATTAAGAGAGGTATAGAGAGGAATAAAGAGGTGATGGTCTTCCTGTGCTCTATCCTTCTCTGTATTACCTTGAATTCTGGACACCTTAGCTGAAGAAGGAAATTGACAAGCTAGACAAAGTCCAGAGGAGTGCAAAGGAGATGGTGAAGGGACTTAAGCCTAGGCCCCCCTAGAGCAAACACTTCTTTAAACAAAAAAAAAAACAAAAAAAAAAAAACCACCTCTGTCGGTGATTACTGTGTTCATCATGGTAGGATATGTACCATCCGTTGTGATGTTCCCCACATGGGCTTCGAAGCAGAATGAGGCATCAGAAATTTTTTCTGATATTTCATGTTGGTTACCACTCAAGAATTCCCTGAGCATCAGCCCACCTAGCAAACAAGACAGGCATAGTACACTGGCATCATTAAGGCCTAACCAGGGGTGGGAAACCTGCAGCCTCAAGGCCACATGTGGCCTTCGAGGTCCTTGGGTGAGGCTTTTTGGCTGAGTCCAAGTTTTACAGAATAAATTCTTTTATTTAGAGGATTTGTTCTGTGAAGTTTGGCTTTAGTCAAAGGGCTGCACTTGAGGACCTAGAGGACCACATGGGGCCTCAAGGCCGAGGGTTCCCCAGCCCTGGACCCTCACAAAAGGCAAATGGGAAAAGCGGTCTCCTTCCTTCTGCTCAGAAAACTGCCATATTCGAGGATGATGAGGAAGACATCTTATCCCTTCCGAAACACAAAACTCTTGTAAAGCATGTTATGGGTGTGGATTGGTCTTTACCCAAAAAAAGGAGGAAATTTTTATGTAAAGGTAAGAACTTGCTGTGATTAAAGCCACACAACATTTCAGTAATACAACCTGGAGAAAATTCAGGAATTCAAAGCTTATCTTTGCCAAATTTTTCCATTTTATAAGAATACAATTAGATGAATAAAGGGAAAAAAAAAACTCAAACCAAAGACTCAAACCAAAAATATTCTACTACAAGTGAATTTATAAAAGTGAGGATATTAAACAGAATCAAATGACTGGAAAAGACCATTCTTCAATTTAAAACATATTATCAGTGACATTGAATATTAATGTCTAGGAACATCTTGAGTCATTGCTTTGTGCTTAAGAAGTGCTGGTTTTATATTCAGAAGCCTTGGGTTTGAATTCCAGCTTGGACTCTTCTGAAATGAACAAGTCAGGGAGCTACTCCAGGCCTCAGTTTTCTCAATGGTAAAATAGGACCAACGATAATTAAACCACCTAGGGTTGGCTGGGAGGAAAGAACTTTGTAAAGCTTGAGGAGCTATAAAATATAGACAACTGATAATGTGCATAATATCTAATCAAGGATTCATCTATGAAATTATTAAAATAAGGCTTCTTAATCCAAGGTCCACAGATTTAAAAAATGATGACTTTTTCTATAATATTGATTTCCTTTCTAATCATATGTGTTTTGTTTTTATGGATTTAACACATAATTCTAAGAAGAGGGTCCACAGGCTTTGGCAGTCTGCCAAAGGGGTCCATGACACACAAAAAAAGTTGTCCATGACACACAAAAAAAGTTAAGGGCTCCTGCATCAAAAGGTACAAAATAATGGAATATGCACATTCATTTTACTTTGATTAATCACAAAAACAGAAAGTGGAACTTCAAAGCCCAGGTTCAATTGGGCACATGTCTACTTTCATGAAAACAAAAAATACACTTTAGTCACTTAATCTGAAAAGAAACCCAAACTGCACATGCCACACTGACTCCTTTTCAGCATATTAACAAAGTATAAAAAATGAAAGGCAACATGGGAGAGCAGATTAAAGTAACCTCAAAATCAGGAAGACCTGGGTTCAAGTCTAGCCCCTGACTTATACTCTTTGTGTGGCCCTGGGGACATCATTTAGCTTCAAAGTAAGCCAGACAACTCTCTTGTGGCTAATGAAGACCACATGCTGCTTTATATCGGTCAAGGACATTTCCTCATGGCAAGTTTCCTTCCTAAGTGAAGTCACAGGACTGGACCAAACCAAAGCAAATAAAACAATGACAACAACAACAACAACAAAAAACCCCACAAAATTCCCCAGCATTATGAAGCCACTTATAAGTTATGTTGGAAATGTCAAAGGGAGTCTTTATTAAAATTTTGAAGTCCACCAAAATGGAGATAGACATCAGCTTTACGCTGTAAATATTAGAGTGACAAATATTTAGTTATGTGAATTAGCTATTTGTTTCCTCTGTGATCTTAAGAAGGGAGAGGACATCCTCTCTAAAGGGAAGAAAAGATTGGCTGGTACTTGGCCTTTATTTATAGGGACAGGATCAGACCTGTGATTTCACTGGCAGAGAGACACTCCAGTGTAAGGAAACTTTATCTGCCAATGCAGTTGGGCACCTACTCTACAAAGTCCTAGTTATAAAGAGCCGCCTAGAACACTGACAGGTTAGATGACTTACCCAGGGTCAGACAGCTGCTGGGTGTCAGAAGCTGGACTCCAACATTACTGTCTGAAATACGACACTACAGTCCTACTCTGAAGCCTCCTAGGGTCATGGTGGTGAATCTGGATTTTCAATACGGTTTTGCCACTGGGATACTAGCTCCAGTGGGTCATCCATCCACTTGACTAGAAAAGCTTAAGAGTATAGCTCCAGAAATTGAGTATCACATGCAGGTAGGCTAGTCTAATGAAGTTTGGGGAGGCTCATCCCCAGAGCCAATGAAGGGTCTCTACTACAGTACACAGCACCAGTAGAAGAAATCTGAGATCCAACCATGAGGACCTGAAGCGTCTCCCGCATCATCAGATATCAGTTCAACCACATACTACTAGCAATGAACACTGAATGAATAAATCAATCAAAAAACATTTATTATGCACTAGATACCGTGCTTGGCCCTTGGCATGCAAAGACAAATGGAAATAATCCCTGTCCTCAAAGAGCTCAATTCTATCAAGGAGAAAACATGTATGTGTATAAGTGGGTACAGAATAAATGAAAAACCAATACTGTAGGAAGAAAGGAATCTAGTAGTTGGAGGGATAAGGAATGACTTTGTGTAGTGTTGTGTTTAAGCTAAATCCGTATGTGTGTGTGTATGTATGTATGTGTATATGTGTGTGTGTGTGTGTGTGCACGCACTATAGTGCACGTTAAATGATTCATTTAAACACATTTTGGGAGTGAAAAGAACATGACGCTATGTTTCTACTTAGTGCTAGCGAGATACAGCACTGATGGGCTTGAACTATAGCTAAGAGAAATTAAAAATATCTCTAAAATTCAATTACTGAAATTTACTACAATTCTTATACAAAGGGGAAAGCAATGTTTTAGAACACCTCAATTAGTCAATTCATTATGAATTGTGCAAAAAGAGATTGAGGCTGAGGGCAGTTCATGCCAAAGATACTTCTTTATATTTTGTAAAAAACAAAAAAAAAATTATTGACATATGAAGATAAAGTCTTAGGCCAAAATTCTATCAATTAACTGTGCCAAACTGAAGTACTATTTGGACCATAGTTTTACATAAGGACAAACAAAAATTGCTACTGGTTTTCTTTTTTTCCTAAATTATGTTAGTTCTGATTGTACGAGCTCATTATGGATGCATGATGAAAAAAAGAGGAAACAAAATACCTTAGAATAAAATGTTACAGCTAGATTTATATGGGGCCGTCCAGTCCCCTACATGAATTTAACATATAAAGAAATTAAGGCAGAGAGTTTAACTAACTTGTCCAGGATTTGATAGTTAATTAGGTTCAGAGCCAATATTGAAACTCAGGACTCCCAACTTTTAGCCCTTTGCTCTTCCCACTACAATATACTGACTTCTGATATAGCCTGAGAAACACTGATTTTCCCTCATGAGTTTGCACTCTCTTGGGTGGGGTGGGGGTGGGGAGGTTCCATCTACTACTGAAATTCATTTTCATGAAGGAGAGCACAGAAAATGAGAGGGCATGCTTATGTAAAAGGTAGATAATGACTAAAATCATTCTTACTTTAGAAATGATTGGAAATCTTCACACACTGCTTCACAGCCTGGCCACTTGCATACGCCATGTCCATAGAGTGGGTGGCTATGGGGGTGATCCTCATGGGATAAACTGAAAGAAGCCAAGACAAGGAAAAAGAATGTAACTTATTTCTCTACATTATTCCAGTCAGCAAAGACACAATGGACCAAACATATGACGTAAGCCTGCTACTGGTTTTTTTTCCCTTTTTTACTTTAAAAAATCCTTCCCCCTACTTATGATTTTTATTTTATTCAAAAATGGTTCAGTGAAGTTGTATGAAAATCTACACAGCAAAATGTAAGGCTGTACACCTTGATACAAAAATCATCTGACGGGTTTTTCAATGCCGCGGCGGGTAATTTTTTTTTTAGGAGAAATTTATTAACATTACACACTCTCTCAGTTAAACCTCATTCAGATGAAAAGTGTCCATTTACAACTCTGCAGATTCTTAAAATATCGAGAACTGAAAATGTTGTAATTTATATAATAATCAAAAACTTCAAGAAATCCCTCCTTAATTTTGATATCCTAACACTAGGTTTTCTATACGGCATATTATTAAGCTGCCTTCTTCTCCCCCGTGCTCATGGGGCTTTCATATACTCAAATGGTGTCACTAACTGTTTTCCAATGCAGAATTCAATACAATGGGCAAATGTGCGATTAAAGAACTGAGAAATATCAGTGGGTCAGAGAGGACTATTAGCCTTTTTAGACTGGGAGGAAGGTTCACATTTTCAAACTATTCAAACCAAGGGTTACAGGAAATTTTCTTATGAATGCTAAGGGGTTAATCCTTCTGCAGGATTCCAATCAATACATAATGATTTGGCTGCACTGATCCAAGTCATAAGATGCTTTGATCCAGTCCATGTGGTGCTGAGGGAAATGTAGCTGCTGCACTCACTGATGAACCTTATTCTAAAATATTTTCCTCTATTAGATTTCTGCATTCAGACTTCTTTCAAAAAAATTACTTTTGCACTGGTTTCCATAACCTTAGATTCCATCAAATACAATGTAAAAAATAGTAACATTGAGAGCTATGTTTTTTCCTCATGCACATTTCTTTGATCACTGAGGCTATCTGTGGCCTGGCCCACTGGCTCTGCTATATCCTCAACTTGAAGTACAACTATGCTATGACTGTACACATAAAATCACTTTCTTCTTCTTCTTCTTATTATTAGCTTATTGTTGTTGTTTTGAGATTGGGTCTCCCTATCTTGCCCAGGCTGGAGGTATTATGGTCATTCATGGACCCAATCTCATTTCTGGTCTGCCCAGAAGTTTTGACTTGTTCTCTTTTCAACCTGAGTCAATTCATCCCTCCTTAGCAGTCTGCTAAGCTTTTGGGGGCTAACCATATTGGTGTCAACCTTAGTATGGAACTGAACTGGCTTGAGCCCTACTACTGCTCAGAACTGGGGAAGTCAAGCAATTTATCAGCTTAGCCTCCTGGTAACAGGCATTAATCGGGACTTCTGTTTTACAGTCACATTCAACGTGTTACATAAACCCACTGCAACAATTTCTAAACCATATATGGATAAATACGATTTGTTCCTCTTTTATGACAGCATTTAATACACAATATAGAGCAGATGGTAAAAGTCAACCAGAGAACTTGATTTTTTTTTTATGAAACATAACAACCATTGTTTCCTAGAACCTTTTAACAAACTTCAAGATTTTCAGGATAATCTAAGAATACTGACAAGAGACCCTGCACCTGAAGTAAGAAAACAATTTCCTGAAAGAAAGGGAAAAAATGTGTAGAGAGTCAGTATGCCAAGGCATTGAAGCTTTTCACACAAAGCAAGATTGAAATAGTGGTGATGAGGTCAATTCACTTGGCTACTGGGACACATTCATTACAAAAGCCAGGAGATACCATGAGAGCATCTGAAAGAGGGGCAAATCCACTAAGCATGAGGAATAAAAGCAACCACATCTTGCCCCTAATCTAAAGAGGGATAGATGATGAGAAGACACACATTCTCTCTTAGATTACTGAGAAATAAGGAGATAAAAAAGACTACTCAAGACCATTAGATTACCAGTGCAATACTGGTATAATCTCAATGCGCATTAAATTTAAAAAAAATTTTTTAAAAAGAAAATATTTCAAGCTTTAGCTGAAGTCATTATTTGTACCCCTCTCCAGAATGTTAACACATGGCTTTTTTTTATATCAGTAGGCTAAACTATTTAATCAAGATAAAAAATTAATATCAATAGTTCAAAATTGCATATAATTTTCTATTTATCCCACTGTGTTTCTACTGTTAAGCTGAGATTGTTTTAAAAAAAACAATATGAGTTCCGTACAGTCAGATTTATAGCTGAAAATTAAATTTAAATGATTTAACATGGTGTTTGGAGGTGAGGTTTTTTTTTTATTAACTTATTTAATTGTGAAAAATCCAAGAGAATGAATAAGAAATTGTTCTAATATGTTATTCATAGCTCGATGAGGCACCTTCATTTCACAGTAGGTGCAGATCAAAACTCATCACAGCTTTAACAATGCTAATCTTCATAGAGATGACTAGTCCAACAAAGGCCTAGAAGTGCTGGACATTTCTACATTGCACAGGTTTATTTTTAATCGATTTCATTGAAAGCTTTGGTTTATACATTGCCTCAATTTTCCCCTGTATCCTTTCACCTCTCAGAGAGTCATCTGTTATAATAGTACATTTTTTTAAAAGAGGAAAAGTCAGCCAAACTAATCAATACATTAAAAAAAAAATCTGATGCTATGAGTGCAGTATGGCATACCTGTGGAGTTCCTCACCTCTGAAAAGGAGCAGGGAGAGATATATTTCTCTCTTTCTCCTTTGAGGCCAATTTTATTCTTTATACTTTCATAGCATCCCTCTCGGCTCTGTGATTATTTTTTCCCATTTACACTGATGTAGCTATTGTCTCTATTTGTGGTGTCAAACTCAAATCAAAAGGGCTGCATATTGACTTAGATAACTTACATTATGTCACACACACATTATTTTATTTTGCTAAACATTTTCCAATTACATTTCAATCTGCTTCCAGCCCATACTTAGGAGTTCTGTGCCTCCAGTTTTTTTGTTTTTTTGTTTTTGTTTTTTGGTGAGGCAATTGGGGTTAAGTGACTTCCCCAGAGTCACACAGCTAGTAAGTGTTATGTGTCTGAGGCCAGATTTGAACTCAGGTCCTCCTGACTCCAGGGCCAGTGTTCTATCCTCTGTGCCACCTAGCTGCCCTGGGCCTCTAGTTTGTAACCTCTGGTCTGTACCGTTTTCCTGGTTCCTGGCACTCTGCATCAGTTCATCTGACTTTATAACCGTCTCTGTAGTCGTCACGTTAATCACACTAATATTCCAAAATTTATTTAGCTATTTCCTAATTGATAAGTATCTACTTCCTTTCCAGTTCTTCATTACCACACAAAAAAGTAATGACAATACTCTGGCATACATGAGGGCCTCCTTTTTGTCAATGACCTCCTTGGGATATGAGCATGGCAGTAGAATTTCTGGGTTAAAGAGCATGCACATTTTAACCACTTAATTTTTTTTAGCTAGCATTTATAAAGAACTTTAAAGTTTGCAAAGTGCTTTACAAATATTATCTCGTTTAATTTTAAATTAAATGATTCCAAGTTCCTTCTCAAAATGGTTGTACTAAATTCCCAGTTCTACCAACAATGCATTAGTATGCTTGTCTTTCTACACCCCCTTCACCTTGGACCCATATTTTGTCACTTTGTACATTTTGGGGTGTAGAGTGAGCCTTTAGGTTTATTTTGATTTAAACTTTTCTTGTTATTTGAAATTTGAAACCTTCTTTCACATGGTTGCTAAGAGTTCGCAACCGTTCTTTTGAGAACTGTTGGCTCATACCCTTGGTGGTCATTTCTCTACTGTGGGATGGCTTTTGGTCTTAGATATTTCTGTCAGTTGTCAGATAGGTCTTAAATTATGCAAATTGGATTGTCTTTTAAAAAATGAAAAGTATCCCTCAAAAGAGAAATCCTTATTAAACAGTGTTTTTTCAGGAGTGGGATTGGAATAGGTTGAAACTGGGTCTTTTTTTAAATAATAGACAATAATATAACTGCTTTGCAGGGATCCAGAAAATGGACCGATTTTTTTCTAAATCCCATTCACCTAGAAAGTTATAGAACAGAGTTCATTTTTCCACAATTTCCAATTTCATTCAAGGCTTTAGCAGACAATGCCAGATGAACTTCTGAAGGGCAGCTCTTAAATGATTTTATTAAAAAAAATGGAAGAAGACTATGTTGTCTCGCTACCTTTTGACATACCACAAAAAGGACAACAGAGGAAAGGAAAGAAATGAATGAAAGCATGAATTTTCCTTGAATTGTTTTAGAACTACATTTGTCCAGGAAAACATAGCTAAAGAGTAAAGAGCTGAGTGTCTATGGTAAGAAAAACTTGACTGAGTCTGAAACATTAAATTGTTCAAGGATAGCTTATCATGTGAAAAGTACAACTTCTTAAATATTGCCAAAGTCAGGGAAATACAAAGATGCATTTAGTTTTGACAAGATTTAACACGTTCGCCAAAAGGTTTAACTTCCTTACTTGGGGTCAAGACTTTATTAAATGTCTTGTATATAAAATGCAATTGTGTTCATTTTATCAGTACTTTCTGATACATTGCACTAGATTGTAAGCCTCCTGAGGGCAGGGGCCAGATCTTTAATCTGTGTTATCTCTTCCTGGCAGTTAGTACAGTATTTTCTGGTATACATAGAGTGTGACTCCTTCCTCCCCCTACTCTCTAAGAGCCTTAATAGCTTACAACTGCACCAAGACTTTTGGGACACTGCATACCATGCACTTAGTGTTTGTGGAAGTTGAAAATAGAGCTGTAAACATTAAACACTTACATGTAAAATACCAATGCCAAATCCAAACAAGGAATGTTATATTATGATATTTTCACCCAGAAAGAAGAAAATTTAAATTACAAACAGGTATAAAATGAGGTCAAAGGTAAAACCTATCTTACTTAATTCTTTCCTTCCCACATTTACTGATTTAGCTTCTTTTTAATTGCCATGTAGGGAG